TATTAAATATATCATACTTATAAAAAATCAAGTTAATCGGATATCAGAAAGTATGTGCTCGGAAAAATGTTTATTAAATTTTTTAAAAAAAATAGTTTTTAGTTAATTTTTCGAACACATGCTTTTTGATATCCAATCAACTAGATTTTTTACAGGTATGATATACTCAACAAATCTTAAAATGTGATCGGTTCGGATTATCAAAATTAGGCCTAAAAATAGGCCCAATAGCCTATCAAGTAGGAAGTCAAGTAGGAACCTCAAGGAGAGAATCCTGATTCGCTATTAGTACCTTATCAATTATTTTGAACCCTTTATTTTTAGTTTTTTTATTACAATAATAATCTCAAATAAAATTACTAAAAATGACATCAATCAGTGTGTTTGATTTCAGTTTTTTGAATTTAGTTTTTTGAAAATTGAATTTTTTGTTTTTGTTTTTGTTTTTAGTGAATATTTTTAAAATTATAAGCATTTTTTTAAACTTTTTTAGATGCACCTTACTTAGATATATATAAAAAGTAAAATATTTGTGAAAAAATATTTCAAAAAATTAATAAATACACAAATATATGAAAAATATGCTGAATTTTTGTATTTTTGGTATTTAGTGAATTTTTTAAAGAGTTTTTTCACAAAAAATATACTTTTTAAGTATATTTATGTTAGGTGTGTCTAAAAATAAAAAAAATTGCTTAAAATATTTAAAAAATTCAGTAAAAATAAGAAAAATTACAGAAAACAAGAAAGTAGAATTTTCTGAAAAGTATTTTTACAAAACCCCAAACCAAGCAAAGTGAATAATTTTGAGACACCCCATCTCACAATTAAGCCCACAAACTCACTATATCATGAGTTAGTATTTATGAGAGCACCCACATCCATCATCACTCATTTATCTTTTCCAAATCTCACCTTCAAAACCTACTTACTCTTAAAAATCATTTGGCGGCAATATTCTGGCAGTAACGGTGGCAACCATTTGATTATCTATACTTATCTAGCATTTACAATAAGTGGAAGTTTTTAGAACAACCATAACTCTATGAGACGAGAGGAGTACAACAATAAAAGTTAAGAGGAGGTTCATAACTTTGATAGCATTCTTAACTCAAAGGAGATTTTCCTTATAATGGTAAGTTTCTTGACAAAATGACAAAATAATAAAAACTGTTCGTTATTTTTTGGGACTACATATAACCGAAATTCGGGAACACAAGCTTGGACATTGTTTATTTGTTTGAGAATAGGTAACCGAACATTTATTTTCTCAGGTTATGAACAAGTATATGAAGATGAATTTGTGGGTTTTGTTAGAGTTTTGGAACAAATGCTTTTTGGGGTGTGGAGTTGTATATTCCATTGAATGGGTGAAATGTTCTCACAAAGATAATTTTGGTATTATTTGAGGATAGAAAATAAATTTTAAGGATTTTAGAATTTATAAGTGGGGGTCCAAAGAAATAGAGGATCTAAAATAATTGATAGGGCACTAATAGCAGCACTTGTCCAAAAAATCTTACTCTCTCCGTCCCAAAATATTAGTGATTTATTCCATTTTTTATTGTCTCAAAATATTAGTCCATTTTCAAAAATCAAGTACAAAAATAATATAAGTTTCTTATTTTGTTCTCTTTTAAATTTATTAATAACATAAAAAGTATAATTATGACATTGATATTCTCCAAAAAATGTATTATCAAAGGTTAATTTTGAAAAATCAATTTTTTTTAAGTGCAATAATTATACTACTAAAAAAAATTAAATTCCTCAAAAAAGACTATTATTTTGAGACGGATGGAGTAATTAAAATTTAATAGATTATAAGTTCATAAATTAAAATTTTTATGTAAATTCCCATTTTTTATTTTTTTAAATCATACTATGACACCTATTTTTTTTAATATAATTATAATAATTTTATTATATATATAAATATACTTATATACATTTGAATGAACCCCACGTCTACCTAATACACTTATATACATTTGAATGAACCCCACGTCTACCTAATACACTTTAACACATGAGTATCTTCAACGGTTCATTTTTATTTTTTTATATTAAATTTGAGTAAAAACTCTGATATCAAGTTAACACATGAGTATCTTCAACGGTTCATTTTTATTTTTTTATATTAAATTTGAGTAAAAACTCTGATATCAAGTGTTTTAACGGAGGATTTCGTACTTTTATCGAAATACTGGTCGACCAGGCAGATATTCAATCGGTCGACCAGCTAATGTATTTTTTTCACAAATTTTTGCCTAGAGGCGATCATTTGAGGGACATCCGGTGGTGAAAATTCAATGACTATGAACAATAATTTGATGAAAGCTCCCAGCATTCTCAATTTGGTGAATTTTTTTTGCTATCCTCAATTTGATACTTATTTGATGAAACTATTGAAGCAGGAAAAAATAAATTTTTTTCATCAAATTTAAATTTGATAACAAAATTGATGAACCATCGGAGGTGATCTTAACTACATCTACCTATTACATTTCAACACATAACTTAACTACACTATTAAAGCACATATTTACTCTCTAAATTAACAAATACTAAACACACAAAAACATATCTTACTTTTATCACTTTGTGCCGTATAACACATAAATTTAGCTATTTCAATTGGAGATGATACTTAAATAAAATCACACTTATGTGCAATGAGTCAAAACTAAAAGAAGTTATTAATTAATTTTGAAATATTGTCACATAATACTCAATGATATTATGATTAGTAGATGAGACGAGGTTCATAAATTTATATTGAATTAGTTAAAGGATATGAGAGACGTGACGAATTATAATGAGCGAAATATGTGATGACGTGACACTCCAGACCCTTTCAATAATTTTTCCAAAGCTGGAGTGCCACTAGCACTGTATAGTGGCTTGAGAAACTTTCCTGGATTAGATAGGGTGCGGCACACAGTCTTATCCAAAACTAGCAAATGACGGGTGACAAAGATCCAAGTAATATATGTCCATATATTTATATATCCTCATAACAGCCCCCGTATTTACTAAAATTCTGTGGGTAGTGTGGATAAAATTCCAAAGGTCTGGTAGAAGACAAATTATATTTCATATGCCATGACAAAATAATTGTTTAACTCAAAATAAATAAATAAACAAATAAATAATAATCTAATTATCAGAAAATAAAATATGTAAAGTAAATTTATTTTGTGTGTAACATATAGTTTCACATTAATTTTAAATCTATACAACATATTTTCATCTTGTTTGATTTTGTTTTCAAAATTTATTTATTGAAAAAATGAACACTAAAAAGTTATTTTCAAAAATTATTTTTGAAAAAAATAAATAAATAAGACAAGGAAATAACATGATGATGATGAGTTTTTTATTATTTAATTTTTCATTAATTTTCTTTCTATTTATTTTTAATATTTTTCAAAAGATATATTCTCATAACCACCATAATAAACAATAAGTTGTTTCTTTGTTTGTTTCTGGTCACGTTTGAACAACCTTTTCTATTGGGCTTATCTCAAAAGAGTTTTTATTTTTCAATCTTCACTTCTTTTTACGCTGTGTTTGGTTGGGGGATTTGGGAAGGGAAATAGAAAGGGAAATGGAAATGAAAGGAAAAGGAGAAAGAATTAATAGAATTCCAAATCCCAACTATGTTTGGTTGTGTTGGTTATAAAATAGAATTGGCAAAATGTAGAGACTAATAATGTAATAATTTACCCAATTCTAAATTTAATTGTGAATATCTAAACTTTTTAAAATTGTATGAGATTACATATATTCCTAAGAACGTTTTCATGTTTTTGCATTTTAGAAAACAAAAACAAAACAAAAAACCAGCTGTTCACATAAAAAGAAGAAGAAGAATATCTTGTAATCACATGAAAACAAAAGAATATCTTGTAATTACACAGTGAAAGAGGTAGTAGTTTAATTTTTTTTTTTTAAAGTTATATTTGAATTTAAAGAGAGATTTGTGAAGAGAATTGATCTATAAAAAAAAAACCCTTATATTTCATTCATATTTTTATTTTTTATTTACAATTTTTTTTTCTAAATTTAAAAATAAAAAATAAATTATAAAAAATAACCCCAATTTTAATTCTTCTAATTATTCCACTGTATTCAATTTCTAAAACTCCAAAAAAAAAAAAAATGCATAATTATACATGAACAGTTTTGTAAAAAAATTAACTGGGTTCCATACAGGCCCGGCCCTGGCCATAGGCCCACAAGGCCATGGCTTAGGGCCCCTCAAAATAGGCCCAAAATGAGGGCCCCCTCCTATTATAAGTTAGTATAATATGTTAGGTGTGTTTTGAGTCCAAAAAAAAATAAAAAAAAGCCCAAATCAACTTAATTTTGTTGACCTATTAAAAAGCCAAAAGTTTAAGGCCCAAACCAACTTAAAAGGCCCATTTTTTTTCTAAGTCCTAACCCTATCAACCTTCCCTTTGATAGCCACACCACACCAGCAAGGGAGCCACACCACACCAGCAAGGGAGAAGAATCTGTGCAGCCAGACGAAGCAGCGCTCCAGTAGCACAGGTAATTTTTTTTTATTTTTATTTTTTCTATTCAATTAATTAAATATTTATCTTATCTTTTGCACAATTAATTATTATTATAATATTTGTGTTTACATCATCAAGAAAAATTTATTTAAGTATAATAGTTCACATCACATAATTTAAAAGTTTTGTATTTTGTTAAGTGGTGGTGCTTTTATTTTGAATTTTGATTTTAAAAAATATTTTGATCTCAACACAGTAAACATAGGTAAATATTTTTTTTTATTCAATTAATTAAATATTTGTCTTGTCTTTTGCCCAATTAATTGCTATTATAATATTGGTATTTACATCATCAAGAAGAATTCATTTAAGTTTAATAGTTCACATCACATAATTTAAAAGTTTTATATTTTGTTAAGTGGTGGTGCTCTTGTTTTGAATTTTGATCTAAAAAAAATATTTTGATCTCAGCTCATCATGACCCTTAAAAGAAATTATCCGTCTGAATTCGTAAAAAGAAAAAAGAAGCAAAGAGTCGAAAAATTAGTCGAGTGTCAAAGAGGAGCTATTGATAAATTCTTTACAAGTGACAAACAAATAGAACAATCGGTTGAAGACTTAAATAGTGAAGAATTTGAAACTTTGGTGAATAATGATAATGAAAATTTGGTGGATGAAGAAGGAAATGGGGAATTTGGGAGTGCCGAAGCCAATCAAGATGATAAGATGAATACGGAATGTGAGCATTCAAATATAGATGATCCAGGGACTTGGAAAATAATTGACCAGAATTTACGAGATCTTTTAGTCGAAATAGGTCCCATGAGAAGAAATTGTGAGTTCAACTTCCCTAAGGATGATTCTTCTAGGCATAGGCATTTCTCACCTGTTCATTACATTCGGCATTTACCAGATGGAGAAAAATTTGATAGGGCATGGCTGATATACTCAGAACTTTTGGATAGAGTATTTTGCTTTTGTTGTAAGTTGTTTAAGCAAGAGGGAAATAAGACTCAATTGGCTACCAAAGGATTTAAAGACTGGAGAAATATTGGTGAGAGACTTAAAGGCCATGAAAGTGGTAACGAGCACATTACTTGCATGAGCAAATGGATTGAGTTGGAGGAAAGATTAGGAAAGCATCAAACAATAAATAAAAGTATGCAAGAACAAGTTAACAAAGAAAAAGAGCACTTGAGACGGGTTTTATTGATGATAATTGCAGTTGTAAAGACACTTGCCAAGAATAATTTGCCTTTTCGTGGAAGCCATGAGAAGATTTATGAAGAGAGCAATGGACTTTTTTTAAGCATAATTGAAATGATTGGCGAGTTTGATCCAACGATGGAACAACACTTGCGGCGGATAGAAAAGGGTGAGATTCATTACCATTATCTGAGTCATAAAATTCAAAATGAGGTCATACAAATGTTAATCAAACTAGCAAAATACTTTTCGGTCATACTTGATTCAACATCGGATATAAGCCATCAAGAACAAATGTCTCTTGTCATACGATGTGTGGATGTTTCAACAAGTCCAATTAAAGTGAAAGAGTTTTTCTTGGAATTCTTGAATGTGGATGATACATCGGGGATGAGACTTTTTGATAAACTTCAAGAAGCATTAGTTAACCTTCAACTTGATATTGGTGACTTAAGAGGGCTCGGCTGAAGAATCATTTAGAGTTGGTTACTTCCTTTATTTTGTTGATCAAGCCCTTTGTTCACTCAAAAATAGGTTCGAACAATTCAAAGTATATGAGGCAAACTTTGGCTTTTTGTTTGACTTGAAAAAGTGCAGCGATGAATCTTTGAAGGCGGGATGTGTGAACCTTGAAGAATTTTTAAAACATGGTGAGATTTCCGATATTGATGGAAGAGATTTATTGATGGAGCTAAAAGTCTTGAAAGAGAGATTGCCAAAAGAAGTCAATAAGCCAATTGAAGTGCTCAATCATCTGCAGTTGATGGCAAATTGTTTTCCAAATTCATGGGTTGCTTACAGGATACTTTTGACTATTCCGATTACAGTTGCATCGGGGGAAAGAAGCTTTTCAAAGTTAAAAATCATCAAAAATTACCTTCGATCAACCATGTCACAAGAAAGATTGAATGGATTAGCATTGTTATCCATTGAAAATGATTTTGCAAAAAAACTATATTATGCAAGTATGATTGATTTATTTGCTTCTAAAAATGCAAGAAGAGCGAGGATCAAGTGATATATATTAGTTGTTATAATGTAATACTAACTATTTTTTGTGATTTTAATGCAAATCTTTTGTCCTTTACCTTAATTTTTTTTTCCATTCAATTAAAAAAAATGTGAAGGGCCCCAAAAATTTTGGTAATTGATTATTGGCTTTGGGCCCGAAAATCTCAGGACCGGGCCTGAATATGAACCAAAATTCTTCTTTTTTTAATTGATTGCAAATAAATAAAATAAAATAAAAACATAAAAGAAAAAGAAAAAAAGAAAAGAAAAAGGGAATGATTACCTATTCTTCAACATTTGGGTCTGAAAGTTAATAATACTTCATAAGTTGTAGCTAGAATTGGCAAATTTTACTCAAAATTTTGAATCTGCCCAATTTCACCTATTCAAAACTGGTTTAAATTTATTTAAATTAACCAATGAGTTTAAATGATTGCATCCTGCTAACCCATTTAAATTTAAATTTTTAAATGGATTGAATATGGGTGCCTCTACCGCCACCACTATTGCTTTCAACACCCCCACCATTATTAGAAAAGCAATTCAATAAAACAATGGGAGATTTACCAATAAATCCCAAAATGTAAACTTATGAACCAATTGGTCCTATTTTTATTCTAATAAACCATTTAGTCCCATTTAATTGTGAGGGACGTAATTACCCTCGTCTAACCGTTTAGTACCATGTTTCACTTTCTCTCTGCACCAACCAAACTTCCTAAAAAACCCAACCCCGAATTCTTCTGTTGACCCAACTCACTCACTCAGATAACAATGGCGATTAAACCCATCACTCCACTTCTCACTCTCTGTCTGATCTTCCTTCTCTCTCTCTCCGCAGCCTCAGCTTCGTTTCGATCTTCCTCCAAATGGGTCTCTCGATTCCTCGGCAAATCCTCTCTCCTCACAAAACCCCAATCCATGACCCAACAAAAATACCAGTACGAAACCCGGTACTTCGAGCAGCCTCTCGACCAGATACACACACACACACACACAGATACACAGATACACACACACACACACAGATACACACACACACACACACAGATACACACATACATTACGAGGGGCAGACACGTGATTCTGGGGCAGACACACACACAGATACACACACACACACACACACACATCACCACACAGGCAGACACACACGCATTCACAACACACACTGAAGACCGAGATGCATACGCATTGATAGATTTGGACACACACCCAAGGGACCGTTGACACACACACGGTTGAGGGAGGGAGAGGATTACACCCAACAGACCAGACACACATACACGGTTTAGAGAGAGAGAGAGCATCACACACCATACACAGACACATACATGCATCCATACTTGAGCGCTTGAGGGAGATGGACAGGGACGACACACGGGGGACCTCTCTCTCTTTCTAATATGGTGACAAGAACTTGCAGAGAACGAAATGGGTGAGGAAGTTGGACGAGATACAACAGAATACCCTAAGACGAAAAGGCTGAAACGTGTACCATTGAAATATCAACTGTGATAGCCACAAAATCGAAAGAATCACGTGATCCCATAACAGAATATGAAAACATAACAATAAAGGGTGAAATTGTCCACACAGTGACACCACATATGGAAAATAGAATCAGACAGAAACAACCCTCTCCACTAATAGGACTTATCCGAACAAAAGAATAAAGTTAGGACTAATTGGTTTAACAGTTTGTGAAATGGGATTTATTGGTAATTTATCCTAAAACAATTGGGATAGTAGTTTGATTTATCGGACCCGTACACAATTTTACTCAATCTGCTAAGTCCTATTATTATTATTAAATAGATAAGTTTGAATTGAACTATTAAATAGCCCTAATGCCACCTCTAGTTGGATCATTATACCATTTTCAACTGGACCCCAAACTGAAAGTGGGTAGGGTTTGCTATGGGCTGAACTTTGGGCTTCTACTAAGTTTTTGGCAAAAAAAAAATTAATTGGCTTTTTTTGAATTTGAGACTTTTTTAAATTTAGGATTAAAAAATTCATTTGACAATTTCTTTTTTTTTTAGCTTTTTTTTTAAAAAAAATTTTGTGAAAGAAAAAGTAAAATAATTATGATTTGGATGTGATATTTTGTCTTATCACTATTAGAAAATGAGATTTTAGACTGAACTTTTTGCGACGGTTCAAAAATCATTGTAAAAAAAAGGCATTTGGGACAGTAAAAAAATCCATCACAAAATCATTTTTTAGGACGGCAAATGATTGTTGCTAAAAAGGCACAAAAATAAATACTATTATTAGAGACGGATAGCCCAAAATTGTCGAAAAAGGTTTTATTTTTTTGTGTTTTTGTTAATTTGAGACGGCCTTTCAAACCGTCACAAAAACTTAATCCCCTTAATTGTCCACTTTTGCGCCCCCTTTTCTCTCTCTCTCTCTCTCTCTTGCGCCCATCCCTAATATTTCAATCTTCTCTCTTGTGCCCACTTTAATTTCACTTTGTCTCTCTTACGCCCAACCTTCACTCTCTCTCTCTCTCTCTCTCTCTCTCTCTCGCAGCGGCAACAACACCGGCGAGGTAGATCTTCAGTGTCCAAGTAACCCTACTCTTCTCTCATCTTCTTTCACTACTACAATAATGCATAAAGATTACACCTACAAATTTAAGACCATCACACTTTTATAAAATGCGTGATAAAATATGTAAAGGAATTTAATCTCGGTTATTCGAATCAAGTGAGATGTTATATATTATTTATCACGGTTATAAAGATCGATAATAATTTATTCATTTAATCTCAATTTGTTAGGTTTTGTTTGAGATATGGATTAATTTTTTTGACTATTTTAGCCCGAGACTAAATTTTTTTTGTTTAGATTAAATTTTTTGAATTTTATGAGAGAAATCATTTGGGTTAAACAAATCATTTTTATCTTTTAGGATTCAAAACCAAATAACCTATCTCTTTTTGGGTGAATACCAAACCCATCTCTCACTCCTTTGTCCTTCACTCTCTCCAAAACCTAACCCTAGTCTTCTGCTTATTCTTGGATCGGCTGGCATTGTCTCCATTCTTCGACTGGCGAGAGCGATGAGCGGCGACAGTGGCAGCAATCGGCGAATGGCGGCAACAGCTAAGGTATATTTTTCTCTTCTCTTTTATTCTTCTCTTCTTATTCTTCATAGAAACATTGTTGTGCTTTTGATTATTGGACTGAGTTGCTTATGGTCATTAAGATTTTCCGAGTCAAAGTTGGCAATAGATGAAGGTAAAAAGATTTCTGCATTTTATATTGATAGTTAATTTTGTTTGGGTGACAAGAAAAATCAATCAAACTATAGAAATTTTGAGTATTGGTGTTTCATTATATGGGTTCAGGTAAAATGAGCATGCCTTTGGTTTTTTAGATTAGTTTAGTTTAGTTTGATTTTGGGGGAAAATCAAAGAAATTGCAAACAAAAGATTTAGAAATTTTATATTATTCATAGAAATTTTATATTCTAATTGTTGAATTCCACTTTGTAGGATCTTAGTAATAAACTACTTGTTACTGTAATTGATAAATAGAAAAATGATACACTTATATCAAAATGGAGAATATAGTGATCCAAAGTGATCATAATTTTTTTTAATATATTTTTTTAAAGTTTCTTGTGGGAGAAAAAAAAATCATATTTTTTTAACATCTAATAACTAAATTTGTTCTGAATGGAGTGACCAATTAACTTATTTTATGATTTTTATAAAATCAAAAAATTATGTGACATTAGACTCTGCAGGCACATATTCTGTGAATGACAACACGTGGCCAAAGGTGATGCTGAAGTGTCAGCCGAGGTGCCATGTGGCCTAGTCATGATGCCGAGGTAATCTTGGCTAGGCCGAGGTTATCTGCGAAGATACTAGAATCCGAGATGAGCGGATAAGGGACAAGAGGCCTAAAACAGAGAAGGATCTCAGTCTGGATAGAGATAAAGCTCTTAGGGAGTTTATCCCTATCTAGTTAAGAGTCCAGAATGAACATTGAGCCTGAGTCCACTGAAGTGAGGCTTCTAGAGGGATCAGGTCAGTGCTGGCTATAAAAGCAGGGCACTCTTGTGGGTCTCAGGTATGGGTGATATATTGTGAGCAATAAGTGTTTTCGTGTGAGTTAAGCACAATTTGTTGTCTTTGAGAGATATTTGATTACTAACTTGAGCATCAGAGTGCCCCCGGGTGAACGAACCACCGCCGAATTCTTATCTTTCTGTTCGGGCTTAATCTATTCTGCCGGTGCACTCCAGTTGAGTTTCTCGTTTGGTTGTGTGGTAGGAAATTAATACCCACAATCTGGCGTTGTCTGTGGGAACATAAAGAGAATAGATGGCCAACAACGGAAAAAAGGAAAAGATCAGAGATGACTTCCCGTATGGAAGTGGTAAACATGTCGATCCTAACACCTAGGAAGAAAACCATAATGAAGGAGCACGGGATCAG